TGTACATAGAGGAGGGAAGAATTGTTGTACTTCATTGCCTTGTCTACTTCCTACTGTGAGTGGTATGACGACTTTTCCTTGGACTTGCCCGAGCCCACGATCATTCGAGGCTTTGGCGTTTTGAAGATGGGAGTTCAGAGCTGGCGAGGAAGACTGAGAAGTGCTTCAATGCTACTGCTTAGAGGCTTGGGGCTCTGCCAAGATCTTCTCAAGCCTTGGGAAGGCGTACTTGGGACTCCTCAACTGTTACTGCCATGGACTTAGGCCCTTGTTAACCCTGACCACCTACCCACGTCTGGATGCGTTGCGCCATTGCGGCTGGTGATAATCCATGACTCATCTGGCTTTTTTGGGGCATGCCATACCTTTGTTGGAGTCCCATGAGCTGAGGACGACGTTCGTTTAATTCCGCTTCAGGCATAGAAGGGCTCAAAAACAAGAGGAGTCCACAGGCAGGGCACTAACCAGAACGTTGAGGTGTAGCAATGGACTTTCTTCACGCGACAGCTACTCACAGAGGCTCTACCACCTCCTTCACTTCTACTTAGCAGCCGCCTGTTAGTAAGAGATCAGAAACGAAGCACAATTTGGGCGTTCATTCGGGCAGCAATGGATTTGTACTTGCGTCGCCTGAGTGATCGTTCGACCCCAGAGGCCCCCCCAACCCGGCTTCTGTCACCGAGGTGACAGCTTGCAAGACATCGAAGTCTAAACGCCGAAACTCATGTGAGCTATAGTCTAAACTCCTTAAAGGGCGGTTATATAGGGGATTATGTAGGGGACTACTATGGGGGTTATTAAGGGGGATACTAGGAGTGTAGACTTTAAACTATAGCTCATGTAGTCTCGAAGAAACAGTATCCTACCATGTCACACAATCTCCCAGATATTCTTGTGTAGCTGCCAACTTCGCAATTCCATGGCCCCCACACACACGGACACACCTAAACTCTCTCTCAATCATAGATAGCACATTCATCCTAGGAGAAAACATTGTCATCTAAACGAACCTCAAACGGAACTCATACAAATGGAAAACTCAGCGTGACAGGACGGCAGCGCTAAATTCACAACGCGCAGGATTGGGCCTGCATCTGTGGATGGAGGCTTCTTTACTTCCGGCGATGGCCTTCAGCACCAACAGAGGGGAAAGTTCGGGAGTTTGTCTTAGATGTTGGTCTATAGCGAGAGAAACAATTGCAAGGGGCCGTAGTGCCTAAGGAAGCCAGATATAAGGATCCTCACTATACTGATTCGAGCAAATGAATATGTAGCATGCGCCTCACGGAGAGGATCTAAATCCCTTCGTGCTGGTGGGAATATAAGGTACATTGAGGACCCCATGACACCGTGTGTCCGCAGTACCCCTTGTAAGGGCTCAAACTTTACAACTCTGGCGAATGAAAATAAGTCCATGACCCAAAGCCTTGGAACGCGCAACCTGGCACCCTAAAGCCTCCCCAGAACTAACATGGAATAGGGTGTAGGGTTTAGGGTGGAACCCTCAGACAGGCCGCTTCTGGACGGACCGTTCTGTAGTGGGTGGTAAACAGAGGAAGATTTGGACTCTCTCTCTATATGGTTTGCATGTGTATCTGTGTATCCCCAACTAAAACCCTAGTCACAAGGTTCAGGGGGACTAATGTCAGCCTACCAATTTTCGCTGGGGTTACGAATATGATATTCCCGGGCCCAGAAATCCAGATTTGTCCTCTTGTGGACGTCTCGGATTGCCCCCCAAAGTAACGGCCAAAATCCCAAACTTTCACAATCACACACTCTTGCAGAAGCTCTTTTCGTCTCAAAGATGAGGAAGAGCAAAGGACCAAAAATTCGATCCCTCATATAAACCCACAATGGCCCCTATAATTCCCCAATTGATCCTTGATGACTCAGATCACCAGCGGTTCTTTTTGAGGCCACCCTAAGGTGAGCTATGCCAGAGAAAAAGTGCACGTACGAAAATGCTTTTGGGTTGGTTTCTTGAGGTAGGGCTGACCGAACCCAATCTACCAGAAAATACGACTGTCTTGTGCACGAAACAATTATCCACCACCCTAAGAAAACCATGAGCAGGGTGAGCTGGGTCTAGGCTTTCACGCTCTACGAACTTGTATATAGAAGCTAAAGCCACACACAGGACACTTAAGCCTAGGGTTAAGGATTTAGGTTTTAGGGTTGGGCTCTAGATCCTGGATCCCTTTTGAGCCAAACGGTAAACTCTTCAAGCCAAAGCACGAAGCAACAAAAGGCTGAACCCTGCATAACGGCAGCCCTGAAGCTCTAAGATCCCAACACCCCAAGACCCGGACGCACGGAACTCCAAAGCACCCTTGAAATCTCTGAAGTCACAACAAACAGTCAATGAAACTAACAACACATCTTGCACTTCAAAATGTCTTGAAAAACTGAGTCCTGAAGCCTGTACTGCGAGGTTCATCGGACTTAGCAACTGCTTGTAACTGGGGATATAACCCTACTTATACTTGGGATGACCTAAATAAGTCCAGGTAGGGGGTTACAAGTAGAGTTACATGCCCAGTTATAAGTCGCCACGAGCCCCGCACCCAAAGCCCTTAACCCTTAACCCTCTGTATTCCTATATAGATCCCTTTGAAGCTACCCCATCACAAGTAGCTACCAAATCCCATAAACCCGCAACCCTAAACCCTGAACCCAAAACCCTGCATTCTTGGACTCCGCACAGGGACCAGGGGAGTGGGTGGAAAGCATCAGACTCTGCCCCTGCAGCAGCCAGGTCATTGGAAGCATCTATTTCAGGATCCTTTAGGGGTTTTGGGATTAGGGATTTAGGGTCTAGGGACCCTTAAGGGACTCTGCAGGGATCTTGTAGGACATGGCGTTTGAAGGGCTTAAGGTTTGAGAGACGTAGACAAAATTACGAAACATTAATGCTTTATATATTGTAGGAAATATAGGTTACCCTGAGTAAAACTTGGATTTCCCCTAGGGCTAGGGGTTTGGAATTGAAAGGGTTGAGAGGTTCGGGGGCTGCTACTGGATGCTCAAGCCTCAGCATTCAGGAAAGGGGCGGCTTAAGGGTTTAAAGTCCCCCTTGAGTAGATAGAATATGGCTGTGGGTATATTACAATAAGATCCCCATATACGCCATATTCTATCTACTTCAGGGGGACTATAGGGCTTAGGGCGTTGGGAACAAGATTTGGGTTCTACACAACTGCAACACCCCACTAACCACCAAACCCAAACCCCGAAACCCCTCCCAGCTTTCAGGGCAGACTTCTCAAATCAAAAGGACCCCCACGCAGGAAGCCCATGAAATTTGAACGGGCAACTTCTACAGACAAGCGACTCCCCGTACATCTTGGTTCAGCATGGATGGTGCGAAAAATTGAGAAGCCATGACAATGCCAATGCTTGTCAGAAACCCAGACTCTCTAAACCTTAACGCTTTAGGAGCCCTAAGCGTGTCTCTTCCAAACACACCTGGACCCAAGCAGGCTATAAGATGTTGGGAGTGAGGTCATAAGCACCTGGAAGCGGTTGTTGCAGGATCAAGGCTGCTTCCTAAACCCCCCCCAGAACGGTCAAGCAAGTCCCGACAGAATTCCCTATCAGGAGTACATCGGGACCACAAGGGTTTCTGGAGCATCCCTACCAGGGAGTGCATGGATCTTGTTTCTAGACCTTCCCAAGTTATCGCTGGCCTTCTGCTGGTGCAGGTCCTGCTGCCGTAGTCAGGCTGCCTCACGTCAGCTAGTTTAGGTTTTAGGCTTAGGGTGCAGGGTATGAAGCGAAGCCCGTAAATTCCCCGTTGTAAGCCGCAGTGGCTTGTGGAATTGTTTCCGTCTTTAGCTTTGCCTTTAAAAGTGATTGGTCCCTCCTTCTGACATGTAATCCTTTCTTTCAAGAATTGCCGTGCTGTCAGCCGCCTGCATACAGGACAGCAACAACGCGAAGATTGCTGGCTCATCGCTGCTGAGCAGCTTGCAGCACTCGAGAACCGGGCGGGCACATGTCGAAATGAGGCCCCTAAGAAAAGCTCAACTTGCGCCGACACAAGGGCGCAAAGTCCGAAGCCCGTCAAATCATGGTGAAACAACTGTCGGGTTGCTCACACCTTCCTTGACCTCTCACGACCTTAGTTCGTCATCGGTGGACCGAGAGCACAAGCAGGGAATGAAGGAATGGAAATGAAAACAGAAACCACTAGATTTTTGCGGGTGGTCGAGGGACTACTATGAGGATCCATTCCATCATTCCTTGGTAACAATGGGTAAACTATGGCACAGCATACTAAACAAGCGGCAACTGTTGAAAACTTGCATCTTGCTACGCTTCTGAAGAATCCGAGGTGCAACTGTCAAGCAAAGGTGGAGAAATCACTAACCGAGGCGCCATGGCTCCTGACCACACGGTTTAGGCTGTAACCCCCTCAAACCTATGATAGAACATCTTTATAACAATTCCGTATGGTTATACACAATACTGATAATCATACTACTAATAACAATACTACTCATATACTCCTAATAATATACTACGAATAATAGTATCAAAAACCAAGAAAATCCTAAGGAGACTGCAGTTAAGGGTGTAGGGACTAGAGATTGGTAGGGTACTGCCCCGAGGGCTTTGAATAAGTCCTTAAATCCTCAACCCTAATCCCTAAACCTTACTAAGCCCTATAAGCAGAACCCAGGGGATTGAGGTTTGGGGCTCAAGCCTCAGGGTTTATGTCCAAAAGGGGAGCTTTGGCCAGGCTGGGCTATCCAAAGTTAATGCTATAGGGTTTAGGGCTTAGGGTTTAGGCTTTAAGGAACAACGGAGAATCAAACTGAAAGGAACATGGAAAACGAAGAGGAAACTGGGTCTGCATAGGTGGCTATTTTGTAAAAAGTCTTTGTGCGGTAGCTGGTCGAAATTATGGCCCCTTTTCGGATACCCTAGATATTAACGGCCTGATTGTAAGGGAACCTCTGAAAAAGAGCCCCTATAAATTTGATATCCTACCATATTCAGCAACTGTAGCTGTATGCTTCCAGCTCGGCCTAAGAAATGCCAGCTAGGATACTCTAGCATACTATAGTACAATACGGTATAATATAGTATCATCTAGTACAACATGCTATAACGTGACATGGTTGATTCAGGAATGTTTAAGGGGGCCGCACATAAGAGGGAGCCATAACTGAGGGCTCCTTCAGGCATCCCCAAGGTTGTCTCATAGGGTTTAGGGTTTTAGGTTTAGGGCTTAGGGTTTAGGATCTCATATGCTAGTATCCCCCTTAATAAAGGGGAATCAAATGGAAAAGAAAATGGAAAATTACATGGAAACTGTTATATATATAAAGGGTTATGTAGTGGATTATAAGGATTCTAGTATAAACTCTTAGTATCCTTCTTGATAACCCTTGTAAAAATCCCCTGTCTAATCCCTTGTATAACACCCTTCAAGGAGTTGAGATTATGGCTTTTATGGCGTCCTAACAGAAGGCACTCATGTATGGAGTTCCCTTAACTTAGGGCTTTCTTCCTAGAACCCTAAACACTAAACCCTAAACCCCAAACCTGAGCTGCGCCTGAAATTGCCGGTTCCAAATGGCACCACCTTTGGGAACTCCTTCCCAGGTTGGTAGGAGGTCGTCTTCTTCGTCGATCTCCTGTTTCGGGTTTAGGGATTTAGGGGTTAAGGGTTAAGGGT